CCAGGAAAGAAGTTCTTAAACCAAATGCATGCTCTATCTCTGACCTAGTCAGAGCTGTTGCATTTCAAGGAGAAATAAGCAGATTTTATTTGCTCTACCAGCTGATAAGAGACACCTTCGTAAGTAAAGATTCATAGCCAGCAAGCTCAACACAGAACAAGATTCAGTGATCTGTTTACACAGGTCAGCAGTAATATGGGAGGGGACGACATTTATGGAATTTTTTTCCTCAACCAGCTCCAGAGAAAGACTTGTGTTGCATTATTCTGTTTTCTTTTTCTTTCTTATTTACTGTGACTCAACATGATTTGCTTGATAAGGAGACCTGTAGCACTTGCCATCACTCCATGCAGTTTTCAGAACACATGTGTTTTTGTACTGTTCTTGCACTTGCAAGATAAAATTTGTAACAATTAACTACTCACAAGCAACTTCCACATGAAGGAGGGGAGAGTTATGAACACAAAAACAGCAAATGCCTCATTCAAAAAAGCAGATCTGACTTTACATCCAAACCCTAAAGCCAGATCCATTAAGTTACGCTCTAGCATACACACAGATCTTCATACAGAGGATCATCAAAAATAAACTTTATTATCAAACTTAAAATTCACACATGAAACACATGATCTAGACAAATAATACTGAAAACATTCTCAAACACTAACCATTTCAGGTAATTTGGATGAGTATCTCATTATCATTGTTTCAAATGCTTTTTGAGTATTTCTTAATACATACGCCATCCTGAAATGTCTTCAAATGATTAGCTGGCCAGCTCTCAATGATATTTTTAAATAGGGGAAAAATTATTTCTATAGAAATAACATTATCTAATTATGAATCAGAGATCCATAATTGTAGTGCTTGGGGGGAAAAAAATATCATAGCCTCTTGAAATATTTAGAAGACATAAATAACTATAGTACATTTACAAGTTTTAAATATTTAAAGGCCTTTGTTACTATAAAAAGTTGCTATGTACATATTAAATGCTATATAGAAATCCAGTCTGAGGTGAGTGTTGAGCTCTCAGATTTGGCCGCTGAAACCTATGAATTTGGTAGGCAGATTGTCCACAGGGTACACTATGGGGCCCGTTTTCATTGTAGGAGGTCCATTCAGCAGCTGCCAGTCACAGCTCCGAGCCAACTCCACTGTAAATATTTTTAGAAGGACTTTTGCAAACTCTTTGCCCACGCAGCTCCTCAAGCCCCCACCAAAAGGAATGAAACTGAACCTAGAGGAGTCCTCTGGAGATGGAGACATGAAGCGATCTGGATTAAATTCTTCCTTGTTGGTAAAGAGATCTGCCACATCATGTGTATCACAAATACTGTAAATAACATTCCAGCCTTTAGGGATCTGGTAACCCTAAAAAAAAGAACAGAAAGGAGATGTGAAGCACCTTGCTGCGTTAAATAATGCGAAATGACAGCACAGGACACATCAGTGCACCCCACCTCCCCTCCTGCAGGTCACTCTGAGGCAGGCAGGCCAGACAAACATGAAATATTTTGCAGCTGCTCTGAGGAGTTGTGCCCAAACCTTGCTTACATTTAGCTCAAGGGTCTTGAGTGCAATCCGAAATCCTCCAGGAACAGGCGGGCTCAGCCTGAGGGTCTCTTTGATGACACAGCCTGTGTACTTCAGCTGCTCCAAGATCTCCATGTCCAGCTGCTTCTCTTGGTTGGAGCTGCACAGTAATCCCTGGAAAGTAAAATGTCGCCATGACATTCATCAACCATGCAGCCAGGGCTCCTGGCACTGCAAAGCAGCTGCCCCTCAGCTGCAAGCAGCATTTTCCTGCCACCCCTAAAACTAGGGCAGCACCTGGGTCAAAGGGAGCCCTGTCTGGGATACCTGTCCTGGAGGTACCTTCCCCCCAGTGCACCCTGCTGTGAAATGCCTCTGGGGAAGACACACACCTTCACCTGCAGTTCTTTCCTCACTTTCTGCAGGACTTCATGGTGGAGCCCTAGGAAGGCAATCAGCGAGGTGGCAGCACTAGCAGTGGTTTCATGGCCCCCGAACAGCAGCTCTGTGGCAGACTCCTTCAGCTCCTTAACACAGAGGATAGAAGAGGCATAAACCAGGCCCTGAACATGCTATCTCTACCAGACCCACTCTACCACTGCAATGCTGTACATTGTTCCCAAACTGGAACAGACACCCAGGGGTCAGGATGGGGGTGGTTGGTGGTGCTTATGCTCCCTGTGGACACGTCTCCCCATCCAACAACCTGACTTCAGCCTCGGCACCCTAGTGCTCAACACAAGCTGGTTTATTTCACTGGGAGAGAGAGCATCTCCTGCTATTTCCTTTTGTCCCCACAAGGTAGTTATGATGTTCTCAGAGGGCCTGAGGGAAAGAAATTAATCCAGTCCTGGGAAACCTTACCTGCATGTTGAGCTGCTCCCCGTTACCCTGCGTGTGTTCCATCAGCAGCTGCAGCGCATCCTTGTAGCCACCCTCAGGTTCCTTGCGGGCCATCTTGGCACGGATGTTCTCCTCGATCTTGGCGTGGATGATGTTGCGTGCCCGCAAGCCCTGACCGAGCAGGAGGGAGAACAGTGCAGGTCTTAGGCTGCAGTGCCATCCCTCCCCCCCCGATTCCCCCGTGCCGCAGGGGCACCCCTCTCCGCCTGGCCTGCCGTGAGCCTTACCCTATAGAGCCCACTGAACGGCACATCGATGGGCAGGGAAAAGAGGTTGCGGATCATCTCCTCGAAGGCCTCGACCAGCTGCTGCTCGCCGTCGGGGCTGGCCTGGCGGGGCTGGAAGCCCAGCAGGATTCTCATGGCAATGCGAAACATGAGGCGCTTCACCTCGGGGTACACGAGCAGGCAGGGCCCGGCGGCGCCCAGCCACCGCTCCAGGCAGGCGCTCACCTCCTCCTGGATGACGGGCACGTAGTGCTGCAGGGCGTCCCGGGAGAAGGCGCGCATGATCACCTGCCCGGGGGGACGAGAGGAACGGGACACGGGCTCAGCCGCCGCCCCGGGCCGACCGCGCCCGCTCCCCGCCCGCCGCCGGGCCCTACCTTCTTGCGGTGCTTGTGCTGCCCGTTGTGGAGATTGGAGAGGCAGCCCGAGCCCAGGATGGTCCGCACCGAGGCGGGCCACTGCACGGAGACGAGCCGGTGCTCGCCCAGCAGGATGTGCCGCACGTTCTCGGCGCCCATCACCCGTACCGTGGGCCGCCCAAAGAGGTGAGTCTTATAGATGAAGCCGTATTTCCTGCGTTTCATCTGCAGGAATTTCCGCCTCTAGACAGGGGATGAGAGGGGTGAAATGATAAATTGTAGAAAGGATAAGAGGAAGAGGCAGGGAGAGTAGCTCTTTCCCACCTGGGCACGGGAGCCTGTCAAAGTTGTCGCTCGTGTCCCTCCCCTGCAGCCAGAGGAGCCCTGGCTCCAGAGGGGCTCCTCTCCGCTCCCCGCGCCCTCGCCTCGCCTTACCTGCAGCACCAGCTGCAGCGTCTCCCCGAAGAAGGGGAGCCCCATGGTGCCCGGGGGCAGCGGGAGCGGGCAGCTGGGATCGCGGCTGCTCACGCAGTACAGGTCCCAGAGCTTCACGGCAGCCAGAAAGAGTAGCAAGGGCAGCAGGAAGGTGCACAGGGCGCTGGCGACTAGGGCGGAGAAGCCCATGACTAGGGAGCGACTCCCGCCCGGCCCCCCGGGAGCTCTTGAGTGCGCGGGCTGGGCTCGCCGCGGGCCGCCTTTTATACCCTTCCCAGGTTGCTGCCCACCCCTACCTTGGTCCGATAAATTAGTTCACCCAAAGTTCATCTTTAATTGCGGATTGCGGCCTAGCTCCTCCCCCCGAAATCTTTAACTATTTGCTTTGCGTAGTGCATCCTACCCGCCGCAGACCGCTGCCGGGGAAGGAAAGGTGCTGTCGGGGGCGGCGGCAGCGGCTCCGGGCTCGCTGACCCTGCGCTGCGCTCAGCGAGTGGGCTGTGGGACGCCGCTGACAGCTGACAGCCGGTGGTCGGCCACCGCCGCCTCCTCGTCCTCGGATTTATCACCGGTGCTCGTTAGAGACCAGCGGCTGCTCCCAGAAATTCCCGCTCCGGTAGCCCGGCTGTCCGGAGACACCTACCCCGCCCGGCGCGGTGCGCTCTGCGCAGCTCCTTCGCCCGCCCGCCGTCGGCCGGGAACGGCGAGGCAGCGGCCGGACNCGGCCGCGCCCTGACCCGGCGCTCTCCCCTTGCCGGGCGCTGACCTGCTTGTGACCTACAACACGGACCGTGACATCTGAGTGAACCCGGCCGGCAACCGCGCCAAGTTCACTGTCTATCAAAATAACGAGATACGGTGGCCTGAGCACCGATAATTGCCACAGGAAGGCTTTATTATCTCCCCAGCTGTGTATTCCCCAGCCATCGGCTTGAAAAGAATCAAATGGTAAAGAGTGAAAGGGATAATTAAAAACATCTTGGAAGGGGGTCAAGAAATTAACAGCCTAATATGAACAAACTTTGATTACAAGTAACAATTATTACACTTCATTTGTAAATGCTCGTGTTTATCTGCAAACAAAATCAGTTTATCAGTTTCTTTTTGTTTATTTTTTTTTTTTTTTTATTAAACTAGATTCATGTTTCATTTTTCAGCGGGCTTGTTGGTGCTCAGGGTAATTTTTAAGTGCGCTGCTGCAGGAGCCCTGACCTTCCTGCACTGGTTGCTGGACACTGCAAGCTCAGCCCTGTCCACAGTGAGACCCTGAATCTCCTGCAGTTTCAGTCAGCCAGTAGCTCCTGCTAATTAAAGTTAGTCATTGCCACTCGCAGCCACCATCTACTGATTTCACCTCTGATAGGCAAAAAGATTCACCTTTCAGGACAAGGTCAGGAGGGCCAAAGGCTCTGGTTCACTACAGGGTCGACTTGCCAATAGCACTTAACTCAGCCCTGCAGTTCAACCTCTTCCAGATTTGACCTGTCACATTTGGGAGCCAGGTTTCTGCCCGAGGTAGCGTGGTGGTCACTGCACAGGGCAAGGGGGATTGGCCAGGGCAAGGCCATCTCTAGCATTGAAGCAGGATGATAAGAGTTTCAGGAGACTGGAGAGCTCCCCAGAGCCTCTCCAAAGGGACGCTGTCTTCATGCCATGTTTTGGCCCTCACAGGTCAAGCTGGTTCTTCGCACAGAGCACATGACACTACAGGTATGGGATGCTCTGGAGGGACAAGGATGATTGTTTTCCCACTGCATTCACACAGAATGCGTGACAGTGGGGAGTAGACATGAAGCTGAAAGAAATGTGTAACATGTCATCATGGATCAAGGACCACAGCTCTGTTCTCAGTACACAAACAACAGGACTCAATTTTATTTTACATGGGAAAGAAATACCCTGTGGAGGTACTCAAAAGCCATCTAAAAGGATGCCCTCAGCACCCACTTTTAGCCTCAGGTACCACCGCCTGGAGCAGCATGGAGCTGCTGTCCTGATACTTTCCCTGGCAGAGCTGGGCTGATGAGGTGACAGTCAGTCTGGCCAGCCAGCCAGCTATCACAGGGCCTGTGTCACCTTGCAAATGTCCCCTCTGTGATGTGAACAGCATCATCAGAACAAGGGACTTTCTACCACAAATCAGATGTATTCAGAAATGCCTGTTTTCCAAACATTTGCCCCCCAGAGCCCCCTCCCCTGCTTCAGTCCAATCCCATGGGCAGGCTGTGGCTGGGGAGAATATCCTGGGGGGGACCTCAGAGAGGGCTTCATTACAGACCCCAAGCAGCAGCACAGTGCTCAAGCACAACATACACAGCTACTGCTAGTGGGTAAATGAGAGATATCCTCTTTGTGCCAGCTGTAATGGGAAGTGCATGAATGAGATTAAATATTTACAATAAAAACCACTTTACACCCTATTATTCTAGCTAGAGCTGATGCTGTGGATTGGGCAACTCTTGCTTGTGTTTTCCTGCAGAGCCCCCCACCTTCTCTCTTTTATCATCTAAAAACTACAGTGTGCAGGATGTTTGTCCTGCCTCTCCTATAACACACCTACAGGAGATAACCCTGGGAGTCTTAGCTATGGGTTTGGGAGTTTTGCTCCCCATCCCTGGTAGCTGGGAGGCCAAATGGGGCAGGGGCTGACTGAGCCCCCATGGCATATGCACCCTGTCAGCAGCTTCACCAGGTTTTGCCCCAGTGCTCGGGAGTGGGATACCCTGCTGCAGCACCCTGCACGCCCTACCAGCCTGTACACCAGGAGAGGAAAAATAGAAAGACCTTTAAGGTTTTGTTCAGCAGTGATCCAGTAGCATAGCCAGCCTGGGGCAGCAGAGACCTGCTCCCGGCAGCTGTGGAGGGACATTGGTTCCAGGGCTGAGGGGAGCAGGGCACCCCTGGCTCAGGCCTCATGGCCTTGGCTGGGCTGCAAGGGGTGGAAGTAGAGCTGCAGCCCATCATCGACAGGGTGCACGATGGGCACGGTCTGCATAGTGGGATAGCCAGGGGTGGCCAGCTCCCAGCGGGCCGTGCTGACCAGCTCAATGGCCAGCAGCTTGAGGATGGTCTGTGCCAGCTCCTTTCCAATGCACCTCCGTGCCCCTCCACCGAAGGGGATGTAGTGGAAGCGGCCTGCAGCCTCCGGCCGGCCGGCACCGAAGCGGTCTGGGTCAAAGCTGCTGGGGGGGCTCTGGTAGACAGCAGCTGTCTCATGTGTGTCACGGATGCTGTACATGACGCTCCAGCCTTTGGGGATCTGGTAACCCTGGGAAAGGGAGAGAAGAGGGAGGAGAGGACTGTTACATACCTGTGCTACTGGAGGGTGAGCAGAGGGTGCCTGGGGACAGCCCCACTGCACTGCCCACCTGCTCTGCAGTTCCATTTCTCCCCAGCCCAACTGGGAGGTTGCTGGGTAACACTACTCCTTGAGCTGCACCACCAAGCACCACCATTGTGCTGGACACAGGGTGCTTGCACACAACAGCAGGCAGCAGCTGTTTAGCAGCCTGCCACAGTATGAGGTACTTACATCGAGCTCAAAAGTCTGCAGTGCCGTCCTGTAGCCTCCGGAGACCGGGGGCAGCACCCTCAGCACCTCCTTAATCACACAGTCCAGGTAGCGCAGGCGGCTCAGCTTCTCCAGGCTGATATCTGAGGCGCAGTGACAGCTTTGCCTTGGTGGTGCCGGGAGCTGGGGGCCAGTGCAGGAGTTGCTCCGGGGGACAGTGGGCTCCAGCAGGGCACTGGACTGGAGGGAATCTTCCTCCACTGGGGCCAGGGGCTGGCTCTGGTCCTTGAGAACGTCTTTGGCCACAGAGTGGGAAAGTGGTTTCTCTCTATCCCTGGTCTGGATGGTCAGGGTGTCCAGGCAGGGTCCTGCAGGGCAGCACTGACTCTGCTGGTACAACTCATGGGATATCAGCTCCTGCCTTATTTTTTCAATCACTGAGGGATGCTTCAATAGCAGGAGGATCAGAGATGTGCTAGCACTAGCCGTGGTGAAAAAGGCAGCAAATATGAGCTCAATTGCTGATTCCTGGGAGAGGAATGAAAATGCCAAGTCTGAATAACATTTCAAAGTGCTTGTGTCTCAGACTGCTCTCATCTTTTGCAGGTTTTGCCCCTGTGAAGAAGGTCTTGGCCCCCACTCTGACCCCCAAACCTGCACCCATCTTGGCTTGGCAGGGACCAAAGCATTTCTGTATGAACTGTACATCCACTTGCAAAGAACGACAGCTGGGATGAGTACACATTACCTCCAATCTAGCTCTTCTGAGCTTTCTTCACATGATTTACCAATTTTAAGGCAGCACTTTAGCATGCATTATAGCACATTGAGTGAAGTCCATTTCAAGTATTATGCTTTTTATCTTCATCTGCCAGTTTGCCTTTGTACCCAGCTTTTACTTTTCTGCCCAGACAGTGAATATGGGCAGTGGTTTATGCACAAATACTTAATGTGCTGGCAGCTAAAATGTGTTGCATTTCATCCATCTCCAGTTATGACTGATCTGATCTGGGAGGCAAGAGGCAAAAGCATAAAGGCCTCTGTACTAGAGCGAGTCAGCCTGGGAAGTGCTGTAGGCAGCAGGGAGCACACACCAGGCAATGGACTTGCTTGCTTTTCAAGCTGTACAGTCTGAAGCACAGCAGAGTTCCCATTAGCTCCACAGCAGATGTATCCATAACAAATTAGGAAGTTAACCAGCTCAGATACATGGACCACAGCACAGTCAAATCCGTAATATGTGCCTTGTCCAAGGTCAGGGGCCCCTTGCAGCCTCCCAGCCTTTGTGTCTGCAGGGTCTATATGGAACAGCACATGCCAGGTTGCTGGGGTCTCTTGGCAGCACCCTCTGATCAACTTCTGCAAACGGTTTTCCTAAAGTTAAGGGTTGCCCAGAGGTGTTCCATGGCATGACACATCTCTGACAGCAAACATAACCCTCAAACCTACAGCACCATCTGAAGGTGCCAGTGGCTCCATAGCACAGGGCTGGGAGTGCTGAGGCCAGAGACAAAAGGCAAGGAGAAGCTGAAGGTAGGAGTACCAGGAGAAGTTCCCCTGGGAGGCCTGGATCTGACTGGTATTACAGAGCACTAATTGCTTCAGCCCAGGGGCAGAGGAGCAAAATCCCCCAGGGACACAGAGCAGTTTCCTTCCACGTGACTGTGTCTGGACTTTAAATGGTTCTGACACAACTGGTTCCAGAGAGATGAAGCCACAAACACAAATAAGAACACTTGAAGACTGAAGGTACTTGGATTCAAGTCTGGTAAAGTTAAGGATAATATAACAAAGATGACTTTTTGCTAACATCCCTAGTGCCATATATTGGCTGGACTAGATGCTTTGGCCAAAGTGCAGCCCTCAAGGGTATCTTTCAGCTGAAATAAAACCCCTGGAACAACAGATCCCTGTCAATCCCTATCACACCTCCTGCAGGCATTAGCAGGAATTTTTACATTCACAAGGTAGCAGACCCAGATGAAAAGAAACCTCTCAGTTCCACCACATGCAATTAAACCCCAAGACATTTCAATAGCATGCAAGGAATTTAGGGCAAGCTCTTAGGTTTGAAATAATAGCCCTTATGTTCTTTGCATCAACCTCTGACAGTGCTGCTGCAGAAGTTGTGTCACAGCTGCTGTCACAACTTTCCCTCCCTGCTTCTATGAGGACAACAGAACCAGTGACTAAAAGGCAGGATATTCCCAAGCTTCTTCAGCAGTACTGTCCCTGTCCTGGGAGGCAGAACAGGCAGCATTACACCCAGCCAGTGACAGCATTATTATGCAGGATGGGATTTTTTAAAATCTTCCCAAGGTTTAAAATATTTTAAAACGGTATTGTTGGCAAAGCAGTATCTTTTTAATGAGCTTTACATTTCAAGGGCCCTGGTGAATTCACGGCAGCAGGACAAATCACAGTGTATTTTGGAAAATTTCTGGGAAGACTGTCTTTCCAGATCATTTGAACAAAAAGCAAATTAGTGACTAGTTTGTGCCAGTGTCTGGAGGGTCTCTCAAAGACATATATCCACAACTCTGAGACAGCTTTGGACTTTTTATCCAATTACACTGTTTCATTAAATGAGACCTCTACTACTGTTTCATTAGGGTGGAGAATACTGCCATAATTGCAAGCATAGGCAGTTCAGTTTGCAAGTAATTTTGTTAAATACAGAAAATTTCCAACCCTAATGGTGCAGAACAACATATGAATGTATTAAAATTTGAATCAGCTGGCCCAAGGTCACTGCAGTCTTACTCAGTCCATGTTATATTTAATATCTCCTCATTCCATTTGTGGTCAGAGCCAGGGACATGATGAGAGATTGTGAAATTATTCTTGCTTAATATTCATGTGACTATTAACAGAGATTAATTAATCTTAATCAATCATATTTTGAATATGTCAATTTTTAAAAAATTACATTATAATAAAACGGACTAAATAATGTAATAAATAATTACAATAAAATTTATTTAGGAATATATGCTAATTCTAATTCTATCTAATAGTTGCTCAAATTTTTTCAAATATTTTAGATTTAGAGATTGCATTTTTACAAAATATTATAAAATATTAGTCTTTGGATAGTTATCCTGAAATACTTTTATAAATAGTAAAACTACCTTTAAACTATATTCAAATACTTTAAAACCACATCCAGCTGCTGTACCCATGCAAAACTGCTTCAAAACTTGTTATATAAATGCAATCTTATCTATCATTCACTGATAGCAAGTAACCTGGAACTATGAAGGATGCAGTACTAATGACAATTTTTTTCCCCCCAAGATCTTTGGCAAAATACTCGTCACATTCACTTGGTGGTTTTGGCTTAGTAAAGACTACTGGGTTCATCTCTGTGTCACAGTCATGTATCATATTTCATCATAGCAATCCACAGGCTACACAATCTGATGAATGAGGAGGTGATAGTGATTGACCTGGAATCAGTTGTTCCATCCCTGGACCCATTCTGATTTACCACCTCAGAAATTCCTGGGCTCACAGCCCTGAGGAGTCCAGTGATGGGATCAACACCCTGCCCTAGGCTGGGTGCTGGGCTGTGTTTGAGAAGCACACAATTAGCTCTAAATATTTCCAAGAGAGTGTCCTGGAGGTTACTGAGTGCACAGATGTGCAGAGCCTTAACACAGCCACATAACCCTACCAGCATCCTACATCAGGCTGAAGGCTGGTGGCCATGAAGAGGAAAGGTAGAAGGGACATCCATTCCCTTTTAAAAAGGTCCCTTTTAATGCAAAGCGACACAAGACTACAAGAGCTTTAGAGTGTGCCAAGTGCAAGCTCCCTCACTTGCACAGGAGGGACCCTCACTGCTGGTAAGAGGGGCACAGGAGCCAGCAGCTGGTGGTGGTTCCCACACAAGCCTTCTCCTGGCCTTCAGCCCATCTCAGACACTGAGTCACGAGTGGCACTGCAAGGCAGAGGTTCTCCTTACCTTTAGCTCCTGCATGGTGAGTTCTTTGCCATGCTCCTTGGCACCGTTCATTATGAAATCCAGAGCATCACTGTGGTCTTCTGGGTTGTTTCTCTGCAGTTTTTCCTGTATAGCCTTCTCCATAAACTTATGTAGCATGTCTCGTGCTTTGATTCCCTGCGAGAGGCACACACAGTTCAGGAGAACCTTGGGAACTGCCCCACTCTCTAGAGAAACCAAGGGTACCCAAGTGTAGCAATCCTTAATCCCAGGACCTGTAACAGCAAGAATTGTTTAATCTGCTGCCCAGCCCCAGAGCCTTGCAAGAGGCAGCAGTTTTGGGGGAAAATGCTGCACATTCTGTTGCCTTGCTGTTGTGAATCAAATGCAACAAAATCCCAATAAACTATGTGGGAGGAAAAGACAGCAGTAAACCCATGCTACCAAATTCAGCGGCATCTGCTCTGAGCAAACCTATAGTTGGGTCAGGTCCAAAAGAAGCTTATCCCAAGGGACAAGAAAAGGCTGAAAAACTGAAAAACTGAGTCCAGACAGCAAGGCATGAATGGTTTTACAAGTGTATATAGTGGATAAAGACAGATTAATCACAGTCAGCTCATTTTCAGGGGTGTTGCACTCCAGTGCACCAAAACTTTCATGTAAGATTTCAGCAAGTCAAGTGACCAACAATGTCTTTGCGAAGTGGGATGGATGGAGTCACAGAGTGTACAACTCTCTATCAAAATGTCTCCCGCAAAAGCCAGAAGGACCAGAAGTTTGAAATTAAAAATGGCCATGACCAGATGTTGGGAAGAAGATACAAAGGCTTAGATTTGAGGTGGGAAGGACTGGACAAAGTAAATTGGGCAGGGAGTGAGGAGAAAGACAAGAAGACCAAAAGGCAAGATAAAGATATTGATCTGGGACCAGGCAGGCTTTGGCTGACCTGAAAGAGGGTAGGGAAGGATAGGGAAGGAGGGATGAAAGCTCATACTGGTAACAACCTGCAAAGACAAACTGGACAGGGAAAATAAGAGCTTTGATGAAGAGTAGCAGAGAGGCTGGGGGAGAACTTGGACTGTCTGGGTAAGGTGATCCAACAGTGCAGAGCTCACAGTGGAAATAAGAGATAAGGAAAGACCAGGCTAAAGTGGACAGAAGACTTCAGCTGTGGTAAGGGTGGAGCACACAAAGCCAGAGGAGGGAGGAATGTGAGGTGAAGAATGGTATACAGGATCTATACCTAGAGCAGGAGTGTGGACAGGCAGGCAAAGAGGGGCAGAGCAGCAGGGAAGAAACTGCAGGTTGAAAGAGGCTGTCTCTCTGAGTTGTCTCTAGGCTGCCAGACCACAAGGGACCGAGGACCATAAGAGGGTCTTAAAGTCCTCAGCCTGCCTGAGTTGCAAGAGGTGCTAAAGTGAGGTGCGCTGTGCCCACCTGTCTTTGTGCTTATGCCCACACACCCCTCGGCCATGGGCTGACATGAGTTCAGATGGGGTAAGATGGGACAGGGTCAGACATGATGAACTCCCCAGAGGCAATATATGGGATGAGAGAGAAGAGGAACCCTGTGCTGTACAATGAGCTGGAGTCAATGTCCAGAGGTGTTGGAAGCCAGGCAGGAACAGGTGAGAACTGCAGAAAGAAGGGGAAATGGCTGGGGTAGATAAGATACCAAGCCCTCAGACCTAGAATGGGATGTTGCAGATGTCCTGGCCCATCAGAAATGTCCCTTGGTGGGCCTAGGGACAGGGGGTCTGTGCCGCCAGGGCAGAAGGAGTAGTCCAGGCAGCAGTACCTTGCGCAGCCCACTGAAGGGTAGGTTGAGGGGCAGGGAGAAGAGGTTCTCCACCAGCTGTTCAAAAGTTTTGGCCAGATCCTTGAACTGCTTTTCGTCCAGGCGGAGCCCCAGCAGAATCCGAGCTGCAATGCGGAAAGTTAAGGTTTTAGCGGAGGAATAAACTGCGATAGAGCCTGGCTCCATGCACCAGCCCCGCAGCTCCCAGCTCACAACCTTCTGGATCCGCGGCAGGTAGCTCTCAAGGGCGCCACGGCTGAAGACTCTGGCCAGGATCTAGGAGGAGAAGGGGGGAAGAGAGGCAGGTAGTTAAAGCAGGGGGAGCACGCATGCCACCGAGGCCCAGGCCTGGGCCGGAGGTGCCGCCTGGGCTGTGTGACCTGTCGGGTGGCTGTGAGGCTCACCTTGCGGCGCTGGCGGTGCAGGTCGCCAGTGGAGCTGAGCAGAGTATGGGAGCCCAGGATGATCTGGGTGCTTTGGGGCCACTGTGTGCTGACCAGCGTGTGCTCACCCAGCAGGATCTTGCGGATGTTCTCAGCACCCGTCACCCGCACCACGGGCCGGCCCAGGAGGTGGGTCTTGAAGACGTTTCCGTACTTCTCCCGCCGAGAGCTGTGGAAGCGGGAGCCCTGGGGACGAGCTGCGGGTCAGCCCGTGGC